ATGGTGATGCTGTGACGTGTGTGTGTGTGTGTGTGTGTGTCCCACTTGGCCTTCATCACCCACCTTTGCTCCTGCCAGGGGACCCCCGACGGACCCTGACCCACTTCAGCCAAGACAACGTCTCCCACTACGACATCTTCCTCCTGCACGAGAGTGAGGAGGAGCTGTACGTGGGGGCGCGGGATCGGGTGCTGGCCCTCACCGTCGGCACCCCGGGCAGCATCCGTGCCAAAGCCTCGGTGAGCTTTTGGGGAAGGTCTGGAGGGGACGGGGGGATGCCCTCTGCTGTGCCTCAGTTTCCCCACTTGGGCTGGGCGGTGGTAGCCTGGCTCAGCAGCTGTAGACCTCCCTTCCCTCCATAGATAATATGGGGACCCACCGCCGAGAAAACCTCCGAATGTGCTTTTAAGAAGAAGAGCCAGGAGGTGAGATGGCATCATGGGGTGTAGGGAGGTCCCCCAGAGAGCTGCAGGGATGCTCAGCCCCCACCTCTGCTCTTTCTCCCCCTCCCCTGCAGACCGAGTGCTTCAACTTCATCCGCGTCCTTGTGGCCCTCAACCAGACTCACCTCTACGTCTGCGGGACCTATGCCTTCAGCCCCGCCTGCACCTACATCGTGAGTGTCCCCATCGCCAAGGACAGGGACGAGGAGCCGAGCGGGGTCTCCGGACATAGAATCAATCGTAGAATGGTTTAGGTCGAAGGGACCTTTGAAGATCATCTCGTTCCACCCCCTGCCCTGGGCAGGGCCACCTCCCACCAGCCCAGGTTGCTCCAAGCCCCGTCCAACCTGGCCTTGAACACCTCCAGGGATGGGGCAGCCACAGCTTCTCGGGGCAACCTGCCCCAGGGGATCACCACCCGCACAGGAGAGAATTTCAGAGTAAAGAAGTTTTTCCCCACTTGCTGAGCACCACAGCTTCCCCACAGGCCAGAGGGAGTCCACAGCCATACCTTGCAGATTTTGGGTTTGTTTTAATGCTGTCAGCTGATTTTTCTCCCTTTTCCCACAGCACCTGGAGAACTTCACCCTGGTGTCCAGCAGCAGAGGACAACCTTTCCTGGACGGGAAGGGCCAGTGCCCCTTTGACCCCCAGCATACCTACACGGCCCTGCTGGTGGGTGAGTACGGGACCAGTGGCCCCCATGGGTGGGCACCCATCCCCGGGGATGGAGCGGAGGGTGGCGGTGGGGGGGATCCTTGCTGTTGCTCACCCCATCCCCGTCCCCGAGCAGATGGTGAGCTCTACGCCGGCACCATGAACAACTTCCAGGGCAACGAGCCCATCATCTCCCGGTCGCTGGGCAGCCGGACCCTGCTCAAGACAGACGCTTTCCTGCGCTGGCTTTCGGGTGAGCAGGGAGACGGTCCTTGGGCGGACCCCCCTCACCCTCCCCGTGCCGGGGGGTGCCCACAGCCCCCACCTTACTCCAGCTCCTCACCCGCCTGCCCTGGCTGTGCCCCACAGCCGATGCTGCCTTCGTGGCCTCCTTCAGCATCCCTGGAGATGACAAGGTCTACTTCTTCTTCGAGGAGACGGCCGATGAGTTTGATTTCTTCGAGCGGCTCCTGGTGCCGCGGGTGGCCCGTGTCTGCAAGGTGGGTGCAGGGACGATGACGGAGGATGATGACGGGGGGATGATGGGGGTATCCAGCTCCTGTTGCCCCGGGGCTGAGCATCCTCCTGGCTCCCGCAGAGTGACGTCGGCGGGGACAAGGTGCTGCAGAAGAAGTGGACAACATTCCTGAAGGCCCAGTTGGTGTGCTCGCAACCCGGCCGCTTCCCCTTCAACGTCATCCATCACGCCTTCGCCCTGCCCCGTCGCGACGGCGGTGCCGATTTCTACGCCGTCTTCACCTCGCAGTGGTGAGTCCCAGCACCCAGGGGTGCTGCGGGTGCGCTGGGGACCCGCGTCCTCCCCATGCCCACCCACCTTGCTCTCCCTGCAGGCAGGCGGGCAGGGCGGGCAGCGCGGCCGTCTGTGCCTACAGTCTGGAGGCTCTGGAGGAGGTCTTCGAGGGCAAGTACAAGGAGCTGAACAAGGAGAGCTCCCGATGGACGGTCTATGGTGGCCCCGACATGAGTCCTCGGCCCGGCAGCGTGAGTGCTGCCCATCCCTGGGAGACAAGACCCTCCTGGGGGATGATGCTGAGGAGGGCTTTTTCTGTCCCAGTTCGCCTTGTGCGCTCGCACTGGGGTGAAATGGTGATGGTGTTGCAAGTGGGATGGGAAAAGGGGTGGTGGTCCTTTTGCACCCAACTGATGCTGCCATGGGGCAGCCTGGTGGCATGTCCCCCCACTCCCCGTGCCTCAGTTTCCCCACACCAACACTGAGTCCTCTCTCCCTGCAGTGCTACATGGGTCCCTCCTCTGACAAAGCCCTCACCTTCATGAAGGACCATTTCCTTATGGACGGGAAGGTGTCACCCATCCAGGGGCGGCCACTGCTGGTGAAGACGGATGTCACATACACGCGCATCGTGGTGGACGAGACTCGTGGTGTCTCAGGAGCCATCTACCGTGTCATGTTCCTGGCCACAGGTGGGTTTCCACGAGGGTACGTACAGGGCACCTGGTCACCCTTCCTACCCTTCCCTTGGTGCCCCAAAACACCAGTGATGTCCCCTGTGCCCCTGCAGCGGAGGGTTTCCTGCACAAAGCAGTGGAGTTGCCTGAGGGTCCCCACATTGTGGAAAGCATCCAGCTCTTCAGGACGCCGGAGCCAGTGAAGAACCTACTGCTGGCCCCGGGGAAGGTAGGGGATGGGGAGGACCCAACAGCTCACCCCAAGCCTGGCACGGAAGGGTCAGGGGGAAGGCTCAGCCCCGCGTCTCCCCCTCCCTCCCCAGGGCATCCTCTACGTGGGCTACTCTGGTGGTGTCCTCCAAGTCCCGTTGGCCAACTGCAGCCTGCACCAGAGCTGTGCCC